GGCATAACAGCTCACAGCAACCTCCAGCTCCTGGGCTCAAGCAAGTCTCCTGCCTCAGCCTCCCAAGTAGCTGGGACCACAAGCGCCGAGCCCAATTTTTCTGTTTTTCAGACAGGGTATCACTGCGGAGGCTGGTCTCCCACTCCTGAGCTCAATACTAGGACTACATGAATGAGCCAGAGCACTTGGGCGTGTTTTTTAGATTTTCTCTCAATGAACTTGAGAATTCTTTGTCCTCCTATTATTGGTGATGTTTATGTCCCTTCCAGGATCACCTTTTGCCACTTTCAGCTACTTATGTCACATGTACCACATCCCAGGATATGGTCCTGCTGAGATGGAGCTTATGATCCAGGAACAGAGGTCCTCAACTCTGGCTATACATTAGAATCACCTGGGAAGACTGAAGGAATGCTAGTTCCCAGGTCCAACCCCAAAGATTCTAATTCAATTGGTCTTTGGTGGGGCCCAGGAAACAGTATTTTTTAAAGCTTTCTATGTATATCCAATGTGTATCCAGGGTTGAAACCTGCTCAGTGGCAAAGGGCAGGCAATAAACAAAAAATTACAAAATGTGATAAATGTTCTATGAAGGCGGCTTGGTGCCCATAGCACTGTGGTTACAGTACCAATCACACACCCCAAGGCTGGCAGGTTTGAACCCAGCCCCAAGCAGCTAAACAACAGTGACAACTGCGACAGAAAACAGCAGGGGGGTTGTGCCAGATGCCTGTGGTCCCAGCTACTTGGGAGGTTGAGGCAAGAGAATCGCTTGAACCCAAGAGTTTGAGGTTGCCGTGAGCTGTGACCCCAGGGCTCTCTACTGAGGGCAACACAGACTCTGTCTCAAAAAAAAAAAAAAAATTCTGAAGGCAATGAGGACCTGGCTGGCCTTCCTGTGCACACTCCCAACTCTCTCTTTCTCCCTCTTGCTGTTGGCATGGCTTCCTGCCAACGGCTTCTACACAAGCTGTTGTCTCTGTCTGGCGCATCCTCCTCTTGCTTTTCACTACTTAACTCCTACTTATATTCAGATCCTAGCTCACTGTCTCTTCTGCCAGGAAGCATTCCCTGATTGGATCACAACCTCCAGTTACAGTCATAGCATCAATTGACTTCTTCCCAGCACATGTCACAGTTACAACCTCACATTTATTTGTGATTATTTACTATATCCTTCCCACTAGGCTGGGACCTTTCATTATCCACCACTACATTTATTATCCAAGGCATAATGAATAGTCAGGGTTCAACAAATTTTTGTTTAATAAATAAAGGGTCAGGACAGGGTCTGCTTTTACACTGAACCCCGAAGAACTAGAGAGATCAGGCCGAGAAGTAGGAGAGATGTAAGGGCCCTGAGGTGGGACAAGTAAGGCCCAGGGTAGCCGAAACGTGGGAACCGAGAGGGAGCGCAGTAGACGTGTAGGTGGCGGGGTGGGGAGGGGAGGACTTTGCTGTAGGGTCCGCTGAGCTATGCGGATTCTGTTCTAAGCTAGACAGGTCATCACCTCGCGCTTCTCTCTCTTTTCTAGAGGAAGCGTCGCGGGAGCTGGAGAGCAAGTGCCGAGCGCTAGAGTCGCAGCTGGCGGCGCGGGCCGCGGCCAACGCCGAGCTGCGGCGGGAGGTGGCGCAGCGGGAGGCGCTGGTGTCGGCGCTGCGCTGCAGCCTGCGCACCGAGGAGCGCCGCTTCCTGGAAGAGCTGCGTCGCCGCAGCCACCGCGCCACGGTCCTGGGCACCGAGCTGCAGAAGCACACCGAGGCGGCCGCCTACCTCTCCTGCCAGCTGCACGCGGCGCGCCAGAGACTACAAGCCCCGCGCGCCGGCCCCGGCGCCGCCGCCGAGCCCCGACCCCGCCGGCGCTCACAGCGAGCCCGCCGCCCGCCCGCCGAGGCCGCGGCCAAGGGCCCGGGCCGGGACTGGGCCGCCTGGGACCGCGCGGCCTGCGCCCTGGACGACGTCGACCCCATGCCCGACCCTGCGCTCTTCCTCTACGCCCGGAGGCCCCCGCGGCCTGGGGGCCGCAGTCCCCGCCACCCGCCTCCCCAGGACCCCCCGGACCAAGCCGGGCCGCAGCCCGCGCCCTGCCAGAGTCCGCCCCCGGCTCCCGGGGACTCGGAGTAGGCGCGGAGGCGGCTGGGGGCCGTGGGAAGAAGGCCGGCTGGGGCCCGGCGAGGGACGCAACTCCGGCCCCACAGGCAGGTCCCGGGGGCGAGGGGCAAGCGCCCCTCCTCCAGGGAAAAGACCGAGGCGGCCCCAGCTCCCCCACCCGCCCCCGCCGCCCCAGCCGCCCCAGCCTTTTGTATTCCCAGCGTTTCCGAAGCTTGGAGCTCTCTCCTTCAGCGAGGGAGCTCCTCTGCGGGGCTGAGCTATTGCATCCATTTGTGGAGAGGACTGGCATTACCGATCCTTATCTGGTCCCCACCCTGCTACCGGGAGGGGAGAGGGCAGGGGTCACTCCCCGCCCTGGGAAAGCTGACAATCCTTAGGCGGAGGGAAAGGGCTGGGCTGGCCTACGGAAAGGAACGCAGAGCCGCACTTGGCACCCCGAGGCCTTCCAGCTCCCCTCTACCCTAGCCCCGCACGGACGCCCTTCCCGCTGAGTCGTCTTCCTCCGAGGACAGGCTCAGCTAGGGGATGGTCCTTTTACTCGGAAGCCGTGTCCCCCTACCCCTATCCTACTGATAGATCCTTGCAGGTGAGCACCGAACACTTTAGAACACACGTCCTCCCAGAGCCCCTGGTGGGGAAAGTGCGGCCTGACCGAAATTTAACTTTTGAAAGATAGCATTCATAGACCCTTAGGATTCCAGGAGGGGTTTGGTGGCAGAACCTGATCTATCGTTGTCTCTGGCTCAGTTCTTTGGGGACGTGAAGCGGGTCAGGCTTGTGAAGGGCAGAAACTGCCTTTCCCTCAGGGGTTAGCTGGGAGTCAGGAAGCTGCCCCAGGAGTTTTCCTAAGGCTGTTTATTGGTGCTAATCTTGCCCAGCTTCCTAATCATCTGGCTGTACCCAGAGGTGGGAAGGAGGAGGACCTGGCACCTTGGAAGTGGCAGCTATTGACAGAAATTTGGGTTTTCTGGGGGTTAAAGTTAGGTTAGTCCCCAGCGTGGGGCCCATCCAGGGATGCCCTAAGCCTGTCATAATCTCACAGTGGTGGAGTGTTCTGTGTCCTCTCTAGAATGAAGAGTGGTAATTTGGAAAGGGGGACACCCTACCTCCTAAGTCCCTTTCTTCCCACCTCCCTTCCCACTACCAAAGGCAGGAGGTGCAGTTTCAGTCAGGCTCACTGCCCTCCCCGCCAAGTCCAGCCTGAAAGCAACACAATCCCCAAAGCAGCCATGCCATTCCCCCTGTGTTGGTCAAGTCCTAAGTGCCTGTGAGGTCTTCTAGGGGATGGCAGGGAGGCGGGGGTGGAGAAAGGAGAGGACTCTACCCCACTCACAGCCACCCCTGCCCTGGCTGAGGCTACACATTCTGTGTCACCCAGGGGTCTGGGAGGCAAGCAGAGTCAAGCTCTAGGGATAAGGACCTTTTCTCCCATTAACAGCCCCCATGAAGAAGAGGTGGAAATCCCCAATCATGTCCTGTCTCACTCCCTGTGTTAGAGGGAGCAGGAAATTGGCAAGACAAAAAAACCAGCGAGTATGCTCCCAGCCCAGACAGGCAGCAGCCCTCTCCCAGGTGACCCCACTCACGACTGCTGAGAGCACTGAGCAATAACCAGGCCTGGTCTGGAGTCCAGCTCCTGGGGTTCAGCTGGTTGAGATGGGGGCACCCTTGGACAGATAGTGCTCTTCAGTCTTACCTTGGGCCATGATAGTGGCCTGGGGTCCTTTCTCTGACTGCCCCTTCTCTACCCCACATCTGTCCCGTGGCTGTGCCTGCATCATCTGTCCCCCCCCCAGAGTGTGTGTGACTCTCAGTACCCCTATCCTGTCACCCTCTTTTTCAGAACCTGTTTGTGTGGAGAAGCCTCACTCCTCTTCCCTGGAGGTGCCCAATGAACTGTGGGAGAGGGGGGAAAGTCTCCAGAGGAACCCAGCCCACACAGACCCTCATCTCTCACAACCACACTTTTGGGGTGAACAGGGTGACTGTTGTGTTGATTCTTCTGCAGAGATGGTGAAATACTTTATCTGCCACCCACCCACCGAAAGCCATAGCTCTGTCTGCCTGGCCTCCCCCCAGCTCAATAGCAATAGCCCTCTTCCCCCTTCCCTCCTGGGTACCCAGGGAGTCCAGCCAGAGACCCCACTACACCCCAGCCCAGGGAGCCTTGAGCGACCTGCCTGCCTCCTAATTCCTGTCCCTCTTCTAGCAATCAGAGATAATGACACTTAATTGTGTGTGGGGTTCTTGCAAATCACCTAGATGAAAGTTCTGAGTGCTGGGGCGGCTGACTCACTGAGTCGCAGCCAAGGTGATGGCAGTGCCTGAGAAAGGAAATAAGACAACCTGGGGGAGGGGCCCAGCCAGATACCAGGTTCCAAATTTAATGGGAAGTCCTCTTCCGCCACCTTCTCCTGGATATAATGAATCCCACACCATCTTGCTCCAAGTTTGGAACAAGAACCCTCGGGGCAGCAAGATGGTGTTTAGGAGCTAGAGCAGGCCTCAGAGACCCAAAACTCCTCAGCCTCAGGGCCTGAGAGAAGCCCCACCCTCCTGGACCTGGCTTGAGGGGCCAAAGGAAAGCCTTCCTCTCCCCGCCCATAGAATGTCTGGGTGACTAAGAAGGGAAAGGTTTGTTTTTTCTCTTCTCTGCCCATGGGAGTGGGAAAGTGTAGAAAGGGACATTCAGGGTCCCTTGGGGGAGCTCCTGTCACACCCCAAGCATGGGCAGGTCCAGGAAGCAGAGCTGTAAGTGCGAACCTCTCTCTGACCTGGAAGTCAGCCAGGGACCATGGGGAATGCAGTGTGAGGTTCTGTACCCCTGTCCCCCATGTCTTACCCACAGTAACCTGAAGATCAGGGCCTTCCCCATACAAGCAGCAGGATAGAGTCCTCCTTGGTGGAAAGGAAGGAGGCCCAGAGAGGGTGGAATGGCATCTCCTGAGTGTGATGAGGAAAGCCAGGGTCTCTATGCACCCACTTGGGGACCTGCTGGCCTTGAATGGGGGAAGGAAAAGGGGGGCAACCACCTGGCAGGAGCCCCAGGCGCAGGGCAGAGGGATCCTGCTCTAAATAATCTCTGTTGGCTGTGCTTTTTAATCCAATGCTTTTCAGAGTTACTCACCCACAGAAATAGAGCCCTGTGCTTTAGGGGTGACTGTCATATGCCTTATTCTTAATAAAATCTCTAAAACACATGCAAGTCAGATCTCTTGCTGTGGGTACTCTGTCCTACTGCACCTTCGTTCCCATAGGAATGGACAAAGGATGTTGAGATAGGAGAATGAGACTGGGAGCTGAGAATCTGGAATAGCCCATTATCCTGGCCCAAAGGAATCCTGGGTTCTGGCAACTTTGGCCATGCTTGTTCCCGCGCCCCTCTGATCCAGCTGCATTCTTGGAGAAGAGCCTTTTTTTTTTTTTTGAGACTGAGTCTCACTTGGTTCCCCTTGGTAGAGTGCCTTGGTGACTTAGCTCACAGCAACCTCAGCCTCTCAAATAGCTGGGACTATAGACACCTGCCACAATGCCTGGCTTTTTTTTTGTTTGTTTTTTAATAGAGATAGGCTCTCACTCTGGCTCAGGCTGGTCTTGAACCTGTGAGCTCAGGCAATCCACCTGCCTCAGCCTCCCAAGTACTGAGATTACAGGCATGAGCCACCCATGCCTGGCTTTTTTTTTTCGAGACAGAGTCTCAAGTTGTCGCCCTGGGTACAATGCTGTGGTATCCCAGCTCATGGCTCAAGCAAGCCTCTTGCCTCAGTTTTTCTATTTTTAGTGGAGATGGGGAAGGTCTCACTTTTGCTCAGGCTAATCTTAAACTGGTGAGTTCAAGCAATCCACCCTCCTTGGCCTCCCGGAATGCTAGGACAGGTGTGAGTCACCACAGCTGGTGGAAGAGCCTTATTCTTATCCTCCACTAATGAAAGTGGATTATCCTGGGACTGTAACTTCAGGAGCTCAGCACACCCAGCACCTACAAGAACTTAAAATTCATGTTTTCAGGATGGCACCCATAGCTCAATGGGTAGGGCATCAGCCACACACACCCAGGTTGATGGGTTCAAACTCGGTCTTGGGCTAGCTAAACAACAATGACAACTACAAAAAAAAAAAAAAAA